TATATATAAAAGCCTAATATGCAAAGTGTCCCCTCAGGAGTTCGACTGACCGGGAGTTCAATCGCTTGCTATGACGTGCGCTAACCACCAGGGGGTGGCGCGGAATGAAGGAAGGCCCAGGCTGATAGCTGGCAGCCGCTAGGGACCCTACCTGTGCACGAATTTTGTGCACTGGGCCTTTAGTTTTTGTAATAAAGTTTTGGTATCCAGCCATGCCCATTTGTTTGCAATCTGTCTGTGGCTGCTTTTGTATTGCAGTGGCAGAGCTGAGAAGTTGTAGCTGAAGCTGACTTGCAAACTTAATATGTTTACAGAAAAATTTTGCTGACTCTTGAACTAGGGGACTGTTTAGTGTTCTAAATCTGACCCATTTATCACAAAACAATTTTTATATTTCAGTATATGATGGTTCAAGAGATGCTCTCTCCATCCCCCACGGAGCGGCCTGAAGCTGCACACATCATTGAAAACACTGTATTTGAGGACTTGGAGTTTCCAGGAAAAACTGTGCTCAGGCAGAGGTCCCGCTCCGTGAGTTCATCAGGAACAAAACCGTCAAGACACTCCAGCGACTCCCGTAGCCCTTTGCCAAACAGTTCGCCTTAGGTTGTGCCTGTGCCCTAACAGATGACACAGAATAGTCTCTGCTTAGGAATGTGTCCTTCCAAAATTGTAGACTTGAGAACTTTGTTCTTTGCTCAGTTTTATTTTGAACTACTTTTTCTAAGTCAGATTTAAACTGAATTTTGGGGTACAACCTAATTTGAGCCAACTCTTGATTTTTGCTGTCCTCGAGGAGAGAACCATCACTAAATCACGTGTGGTCCTTTTTCTTGGTGGGTCTCTTGAAACTGGCTGGCCACGCTCTGTAGCCCTCACCTGTTGCCTGGCGAGGTCAAGCAATCCCTAAAATTAATAGAGAGATATTTTTATAGCACAGAATCATGAAAATCCCTACATACGGTAGCTATATTGTTCTAGAAATACGCTTTCTAGAGATACTGCTGATTTTTAAACGGATTTCCAAAAAGCTGACTCCGTTTTTGTCTCAGTGGGTAAATCAGGAATCTGCACTATTTGGGAGGACAAGTAGCACAAACTGCACAATGGTTTATGTCCATAGCTAGTTCTGTAGTGGCCTCGGTAGCATCATAGCTGTTTCTCAGATGGTCCAGGGAGGGTGTAAGAGCTTGTGCTTTACCTCCAAAAAAGGGAATGAAGCTTTTATGTAAATTGGTCAAAAGTTCTGGTTTGGGGATGAAAAAAGGCCGTAGTAAGAAATGAATCACATTTTACAGTTAACTTCTTTACTTATGGACTTCAAACCGAATAAAATCTTAAGTGTCTTATATGTAATTCTATAGGCAGGTCGTTTTCCAAAACTGATTATAGATAACAGTTTAATCATCTAACTTGTTTTTATTTTCACTGTAAATATGTTTATTTTTTATTTATAAAAATTCTGAACTCAATCCGTTTGGGTTGGTGGTATATAGAACACACTTAAGTGTGTTAACTATTGTGACTTCTTTCAAGTCTAAATGATTTAATAAAATTTTTATTAATTACTTATGGTTGACTCTGATTTGGGGGAATTAGCCCCAAATGGTAGTTTTTCAGATTTATAAAATATGATTCTGCATCTAAGAAGGGTCATAAGCCTACCCTCAAACTCACTCCTAACCTGTTCCAAACCCGTGTCTTCTCTGTTCTTTTCCAAAGATTTGACCAGGGCCATGTCCTTTTCAGAACCCAAGGGCTGAGTCCAGAGATGTGTGCTCGGCCCCACTCAGCTGGACTGAGAACTGAAGAGGACCCTGCCCTGGAGGGAGACCTCAAGGCCAGGGCGTGGCCTTGCTGGCTTTGCTGATGCCACTGTGTGTCTGATGTGTGCCACATGAAGGTCCGTGGCATGCTGGGTGATTAGTACAACTTAGCCAGACAACCTTTAGGTCAAGGTGCATGCTTACTTTCATTTCTCAGACAGGTAATGTCGGTCTCACAAAGTTATGAGCAGTTTTCAAGCTGGAAATCATGTCACAGACCTTCACTCCTCAGTGCAGCCTGACCATCATCTTTGTCCCCAGGCTCCATGTGGCTGCCGGCCAGCCATCCCACCTCTCTTCTCTTGGTCAGCCTGCTTCCGTTGCTGCTCTCCTACCTTCTTTCCTCTTCACCCCCTCCAGTTACCGCTGCAGACCCTGCGACCCTCACAGGTACCCTGAGGGCTGACCTTGGCAGGTGTTAGGATAGCTGTTCTACCTGTGGGGAGGCCCAGGTCCAGAAAGGTGCTGGGTTTGCCCCAGATCGCAAAGCCAGCAAAATCAGAACTGGGACCAAACCCCTGGTATTCTGACTCCCAGTCAGAGTTTTGCCTACTCCCTGTCCCAAGCTGTCTAAGGATTTGCAAAATTTTTGCACAGTATAGTCAGTCCTGCCTTCATTTTCATTCTGCCTGTGCCTTCACTGGCCTCAGGAGGAAAGCAGGCACAGGAAGTTCAGGACTGGACCAGCAGAACCTAGCGGGTCTTTGATGGCAGACAGAACAGTGTGTTTTCACCCAGAGCCCTTCTGCTGACTCCAGACCTACTCTCCTCTCAAGTCATTGCTTTTCTGGCATCTTTCTGAGCCCTTCCCTTCACACTTGCCTCTCCTTCGAGCACTTTGTGCCTAATAACACTTACCATGGTCAAGGCCACAGTAATTGATGTAAGTCGGCTTCTTAAATAGCTGAGGTCCCAGGGGTAGGGGCATACCTTGTGATGCCAGCAATGCCTAGCATAAATCCCGGTCCTGGATTACATATTTGTGGAATTGAATTTGGAGAACATAACTCTGACATAGCTCAGGAAATAGCCAAATGAGGAATGTGCCGGTCACTGCAATAAATATTTGGCAAAGGTATAACCCTCCTGGACTCTGCCCCGCCGAGAAGTAGCTGCCACTAGGTGACTCATTTTCACCTTTTCCCACAAGAAGTAAACAGTTGAGGGCTGAAATAAAAACCTTACTCCCCCCTGTCAGGTATTCCCCTCCTCCAGACACAAGGACAGCATGACAGTCACGTCTAGAGGTGACTGACCTAAACATACCTACCAAGTCCCACAATGTTTTTGCCATGAACTGCCTTTAAATTCTTCAAATGGGCAATGACTTAAAATAATAAAAATGGGAGCAGTGTGCCCAGTACTTCCAACAATCGTGGGTCCCTACTCCCTGGGGAAGGTTTCGGGGGAGGGCAGGAGTTAGGAAAGCGTTCTCAATAGTGCCAGCACAGAGAAATAGATGAATTTGAGAATTATTTTTGAGGAGAGAGGCTGGGGCACTGGAATTAACTGAATACAGGTGAAGGAGAGGAAGATGGCTCCTGGTTTGTGCTTGACCTTTGATAGAGGACAGATGTTCTCTTGTGAAAATAGTGAGTTCACAGAACTGTGGTGAAAAGTTGGGGCTTTACTGAATAGAATGGGAAGCCCTTGAAAGTCTGTGAGCTGAGGAAGGCTATGAGATGCTGAGATCACTGCGGCAAATGAGGAGGCGGGTGACTGGAGAGAGGAGCCAGGACAGAGAAACAGGCAGAGGCTTCTATCCAGCTAGAGGTCGGAGGACCCCAGCCATGTCATTGAGAGCCCAAAGACATCCTGGGACTGGTGGCTAAAGGTCTGCTGGTCCCCAACAGCCAGAGGCCACCCTCTGTCATTGCCTTTTAGTGTGGATTTTTTAAAAATTAAATTTAAAAATTTTTAATTTTTTTTTTTTTTGAGAGAGGCATTGATTTGTTCTGTCACTTATTTCTTCATTCATTGGCTGATTCTTGCATGTGCTCTGACCAGGGGTTGAACCCAAAACCCAAGTAAATTGAGACGAGGCTCCAACCAACTGAGCTGCCGGCCAGGGCTAGTGCAGACTTCTGAAGGATTTCTTCAGGGCTGCTGCAGTGCGTGGCTGGGCACATGCTGCCTTCTGAAATGACGTGAGCTTTCAGAAGGCACCCAGAGATATTGTCAGAAACAAGGGCAGGGGGAATGTGGGTGGGAAGAGGATTTGAAACAGCTTGGGGCCCAGGGAGGAGCCTGGCAGAATGTTCACTCCCCAGAAAGGTCACATAGCTGCCTAGAGAAGGTTTGAGAGGTTTGATACTGAGAAGTAATGAAGGGGGAAAGGGTGTTCTCTCTCCAAAAGAATTTTTTGAAGAAAAACTCAGGGTAATGACTGAGTAAATGAAGGGCGTTTGTACAATGGATATTATGCAAATGAGTGACAGTGTAAAATGGAATGATTGTCTATGAAGCAGCTACCTGGTAAATGACAAGTCTGCAAGTTGTAGAGGAGCTTGACTAGCATGACTGCAGCCAAAGGAGACAGTTTCTCTCTGTGTTTAAATGAAATACTTGCATGGGCATAGAACGTTTACAAGTATCCACACCAAACCCCATACTGGTTGCCTTGGGAGAGTGGAATTGGGGGAGGGCTATGCGGGAGATGAAGGTTAACTTCAACATGCATTGCAGTCATTGTTTGACTTCTTCCAACTGATGCACTACTTGGGGATTAGTACTATTACATTAATAAAATGAAAAAGGAAACCAATAAACCGAATCTACAATATTTTAATGGATCTCATCTTTGTATCCTCCTTTATAGTTTAGAAGGATTTAATGTCTCATTTAATTCTACTAGGACCTCTGCAATTCAGATATTTCCACTGCTGTTTTTATATGTGAGGAAACAAGACAATTATTAAAGGAACTAGAATAGCATAATAGGACACATAATAATCCACTTACCATTCCATCACTCTCTTTGCATAACAGTTCTCACTTTGAATTCCCTTCAATCCAGAGGGCATTTTGGAGGAAGGGGGGAGAGGTAGGCAGATCCCCCTGGCTCTGCAATTACAGCCTGCTGCTCTGTTTACAGCTTTCTCTGAGCTCAGTAATCTCTTTTCTGCACAGCAGATAACTCGGGTCGAAGATCAAGGGATAAGATAGGTAATGTTTAGCATAGAAGCTGGTAAGTACTAAGTACTCAATAAGTAGAGGTTTAAAATTAACTCATAGCCTTAGTTTCTTCAACTCTAAAATAGGCATAATTGGTCAAGAGTTATTCTGAGGATTAAATAACATAACTGTGGTTTAAAGATAGACAAAAATGTAGTATGTAAGCAAATCTATGATTACAACATGTGGGAAAATAGAAAGAACCCCTGGCTGTTACTGTTGGGCACTCAATAAATGGAAAGGAAAGAAGAAAAAATCTCATAGTAAAATAATGCGAGTATATGCAATATAAGTATATGAAGCCTTGTGGTACTGCGAAAATGTAGACGTTGACTGGACATTTGACAAGGCTGGCATTTGATATGTGTGAAAAGTGTTATGCTGATATGAAGGCAAAGTAATCTAGAAATGTCCTATGTTATACTGAGGGGATTGGGGCTCCCGTGCAGGCGGGTGTGTGGGTGTGGGTGTGTGTGTGCGTGCGCTGGGAATTTCTCCTTTCTTCTAGGGCTTTAACCCTAAGCTGTCGGGTCAACAAGTAGCCTGAAAATCAGCCCCCTTTTGACTCGGAGGGTTGTCAGGCGCAGCCTGGCAGGAGGGTTTGGGGATCAAAGCTATGCAGCTGGGGCGGGGAATCCGGCTCCCTGCTCCCGGCTCTTGGAGCCACTGGAAGCCCTGCCAAGAGTTAGTGCTAAGACCTGGCCAAGAGGAAGAACTTAGACTGGCCACGTGGGGGCGACAAGACACTGAGGAAAGACTGGGGTGCCCTGGGCTTTGAGGGGACTTGGTATCACAGTTAGTCCCCTGGGGCAGAGGCAGCGAGTGCCAGGGGCAATGGAGGTGTGGTGCTGGGTTGGGGGACACTGCACCCCTGGAGGAGTAGGTGGACGGGAGGAGCCGCGCCCTCCGGTCATCAGTTACTACCGATCCTCCACAGGGAGGTAGGCTCCTCCGTGGGAGGCAAACATTCATGGACGGCCCGCCGCATGCCAAGCCACTGTACGTCCATGAAATCTCATCTAGCCCTCGCATCAACCTGGGGGATATTATCACCCCATTTTATAGAGAGGAAGCGGAGGCTCACGGAAGATTTATCGCAAGGTGGATAATTAGGCAATTCACAGCGAAGTGTAAATATTTATGAATGAATGAATGAATGGAAAAAGCTCCACCTTACTTTTCCGCTCTTCGTCTGGGGATACAAATGTGAGCAACAATGGGATCCCATTTCTCCACTATTACCTGGAAAATTGTTGAAATGTTTACCTGTGTGAGGGAAAATGTGATGAAAAAACCTCTTCCACAGTGGGAAAGATAGAAACATCAGTGGTGAGAGAGAATCAGCTGCCTCCTGCAGGCCACACACTGGGGATGGAGCTTGCAACCCAGGCATGTGCCCTGTCTGGGACTCAAAAACCTGACCTCCTGGTTCATAGGTCCTCGCTCAACCACTGAGCCATGTCATCTGGGCCTGGTTTTTCTGTTGTTGTTTTTAAGCTTTGTCTTTTCTATTTTGATTTTTCACGGTGAAAATTTTATATCGGATGGGCATTCCCTGTATCTTTATGTAATCAGTTCTCCAAATAATCTTACCTTTCTTCTACAAAAGAAGGCAAAAAACCATGATTGAGAATAGTCCAGCTATGCATGAAGTGACCAGGAATGGAGAATGTAGTATGTAAATTCTAATTTCATAGGAGCTCTTTAATACTACTTTTCTGGCTGAAGTTGTCCATCTGGTCTTTGAATGTTAATGTCTGACTAATTAGGTCACTGCCTAAATTAGTTTCCTCGCGCCCCACTCACAATACTTGCTCTTGCATATGGGGTCGTGATATTAGATAAAGGAAGAATATTGGAGATATTCTATATTTTATATGTAGGTTTATGTATTGTTGGGGATGTTTTTATTGTGCTGTTTTAGACAAAATAAAAAATTATGTTAAGGCTACGTTCTTAACCCAGCTAAGATTGTTTACAGAAATTCCATATGGCAGTGATACGTTATCCTTGTCCCAAAATATTTTTAGATGTTGCCAAGCTTATTAAAATCAGTGTAGTTTTTATACAATGTCAGCAATAATGTAAAATATGAGAATAGTCTATAGATGATGGTCTGTGACTCAGAAATCTGGGGGGAAAACAGTTGTTAAGACTAAAGAAAAGCTAAAAATCTTAAATTAATGAATATCACCTTTTTGCTGCTAATGAAACTTTCTGATTTATAGTTAAATTTATATGATAATTTAGGGTAGAGTACATTTTCATCTAGTACCAGTTAAAGCACCACCTTAATCCTGAATATTCATGAGTTTATGAACAATGAACTTTGAGTAACTCTTTTTCTATTAATATACCCAAAGTTGAATAATTATGAAAGCGCCCTGACCAGTTTGGCTCAGTGGATAGAGCGTCGGCCTGCGGACTGAAGGGTTCTAGGTTCAATTCTGGTCAAGGGCATGTACCTTGGTTGCAGGCACATCCCCAGTGGGGGGCATGCAGGAGGCAGCTGATCGATGTTTCTCTCTCATCGATGTTTCTGACTCTCTATCCCTTTCCCTTCCTCTCTGTAAAAAATCAATAAAATATATTTTAAAAAAATAATAATTATTATGAAAGCACTTGATTAGATCAGAAAAAAAGGGGAATAAAATACAGTTTCTTATTCCGCACACAAGATCTGAATTTTGTCCAGGTGCTAGACCTTAATAATAAAACATATTTTTTAAGTTAAAAAAAGAAAAAACCTCTTCCATATATTGTGAAGAATGCAGACAGGGATGCATTTCCATGAACTTTTTGGTCAGTATCTGTCTAAATTTGAAAGCTAACTTCCCTTGACATAACAATTCCCCTTTTGGAATCAGTTCTTTAGAAATAAGCACACGTGTTAACCTTAGTGGGAGCGGCAAGTAAAGGGATTATTTCTTTAAGTGTGTTCTATTACCCTGCAGCAGCCGAATGGGGAGGAGGGGGCTAGCCACTCTGAGTCCAGTGATCACTGCCCCAGGGTGTCTTCTGAGGGGAAGGCTGCAGGTGAGTACTGCTTACCTGCAGAACCTGCAGGGGTGCTGGCTAAAATGCACAGGGGAGGGGCTTTCCCCAAGATTTAAAGAGTGGAAAAGCTTTAGGGTTGTTTGCCTTGGGATCTACATTTTAAAAAAGCTCCCTTCATTATTCTAAAGCACCACTTTTCTATCTTGATAGAATATTAGACTACTGGGCCTTTTTAAAAATGGCAATATCCAGGCCTATATATCACAATCTCTGAGCATGGGGCCCAGGCATCAGCTTCTTTTAAAGCTCCCAGGTGATTCCCAGGTGCAGTCAAGACTAAGAACCACAGGCCTTGCCACCTATAGTGTGGCTGCTGGACCAGGAGCACTGGCAGAAACGCAGACTCTCAGTCCCACCCCAGATCTGCTGGATAGGAGTTTGCATTTCAGCCTCGCCTCAGCCTGCCTGCCACGATTGCAGGCTGGAACTCCTGGGCTGGAAGCAACAAGATGAAAAGTAGCTGGGCCATGGACAATTTACTCCTGTCTTCTGAGCAACTCCTGTGGGGAAGGGGCAGTTCTAGAGAAAGCTATGGCTCTTCTTTCACATCCCTAAAATCCGGGCAGGCACAGTTGAGGGAGAACTGGCCTGAGAACAGTTCAAGTGCAGACTATCAGAACTAACTCTAGGTGGATTAAACGCTGAAAGTAAATCAACAATGTGAGGCATCTGGTAAAACTTCAGATTCCAGTAGGTTGCACTCATTGGTCTCCATCACCTCTCACTGTAAATCAAAACAGGTCTTCCCACCTCTAATCTTGAACCAACTCATGCTGACAAGAAAAAGAATATTTTACTGCACAAATATGGCCATGCTATTTATTCTGTTTACCATCCTCTGAAAGTCCCTGGTCAAACACTCAAAAGTCAAACTCATGAGTGTTGACATAGGAAATGTCCAAACCAGTAGGAAATTTTTATGAGTTTAGAATCAAACTGACAACAATGCCAGAAGCAAGATCTCAGATATTCCAGAGAATGACAGTTTTGCAACTTCTTTTATGAATTTGAAATTAAGAAAGTGAGGAAGATTACATGGAGGTGGGAGAAAGCAAGAAGGGAATTGCAGGAAATTATAGGCCAATATCCCTGATGAACATAGATGCTAAAATCCTCAACAAAATATTAACAAGCCAAATCCTGCAAAAATTTTTAAAAAATTATACACCATGATCAAGTGGGATGTATTCTTGGGATGCAAATGTGGTACAATATACACAAAACAATAAATGTGATATACCACATAAACAAAATGAAGGATAAAAACCACATGATCATATCAATAGATGCAGAGAAAGCATTTGATAAAATCCAGCATCCATTTATAATAAAAACTCTCAGCAAAGTAGGAATAGAGGGAACATACCTCAATGTAATAAAGGCCATCCATATATGACAAACCCACAGGCAACATCATATTCAATGGACAAATAGTACAAGCATTATCCTTAAGAACGGGAACAAGACAGGGATGTCTGCATTCACCACACTTATTTAACACTAGTGGCCCGGTGCATGAAATTCATACACATTAAAAGGGAATTAGAGGAAATATTTTAATATTGCTATTTGCCCTTTCTCTATAATAGAAGTGTCAGAGATGAAAGAAAATTAGTAAAATGTATATGAAAATCTCCCTCCTGTCAGAGTCTGGGGTGCACCGCAGGACCCAGAGTCAAGTCCCCACCCACCTGCACGCGCCTTGAAATCGCACCAGACCAAGACCCAGCTAGCCCCACTCCCATTGGGTGAGACCCAGACCAGGCCAGCTCCACCACCGTCAAGCCACGCTGGATGGGGGGCATGGCCTCAGGTCCCCCGGCCTGGCACCGGGGCAGGGGGTACAGCCTCAGGTCCCCCAGCCTGGCGTCAGGTGGGGGGTGCAGCTTCAGGTCCCC